TCACTTTGAGAATCAATACAATAAGATTTTTTCACTTTGTTCCGTCAATCTCAATAAAAACAAGGGGATTTTCAAGGAGAAATACTATTTATCTATTATGGTGAGTGTACGTATAATAAAACCGTTTAGGTCCACTGCTTGGGTTCAAGGAAGAGCCAACCTTTTCACATTTTAGAGCATTTGGGTGCAATTTCTAGGTCTTTCATCGAGCCAATGATCTCTCAAGAAATTGATATTTTCACGGACATGTGAACAAGGTAAACCCAATGGGAACCAAAAAACTAGGCCATCGCATGGGACCCAATGCAACTTCAGATGAGTTAGGAGTTGGGGTAGCCTGTTTGTCTGTTCAAAGTCTATCTTGTCTTTACCACGTGTCTTTTTCTTGGCTAAAATAATTTCGAATTTTATAGTTCTTTATTGACTTATCTCTTTACGCTTTGCATATGTTCCAAAATGAGTTTTTTCAATTTTAAACTAAATGACTTGTACATACACGAGAAGGATAAAGCCCAAAATTTTATAAATACTGTTGTGACATGTTCGATACTTTTTTTTTAACTAGTTATGTTCGTTTTCATAGTGTTTTGGAGACGAATTGGCATTTGTGGTGTTAGCTTATTGGCTTCATTATAATATAGTTTTTGGCAATTTATAAATTAATCAGAATTTCTCCCCTCGAATTAATGATAAATAATGACACGTTTCGCCCCCTCTTAGAGTCAATTGGAATAAAAGGAAGAAAAATCAAACGTGCAGCAACATGCTATGCACTAACGTGCGGCGAGTGAAAATAGTTGTCAATGCTAGAAATAATTGAGATTTGACTTTCATTCAAAAACTAAAAGTAAAAATAAAAATTTAATCAGCTCAAAAAACTTGGTCTGACCATGTTCTTATAGTTTATGATCGAGTCTCAAGTCAGATTTTTTCAATCAAGACAATCATTGTGTCTAAAATTCGAAGAAAAGTTACTTGTCGTTTTGAAAAATGCAAATTTGAATAAGAAAAATAATGATATATGTATTTTTTAAATACATATGAATAATATCAAAACAAAATTAGAGAAAAGAACAATTACTCTTTTGCAGGGAATCTTTAGAAATTAAGAATTGCTTCAACGCGTAATTTTTCACAGACGAGATTATGAAATTAATTAAATCTTTACTTTTTTGTTTCCTTAACTTGTTGGAATCTGAATAATTAGCTAATTATTATATGTCTAATTATGTTTTAGCGTTTATCAGACATTAATAAAAACATTTGGAAATAATTACTTACCTTCTCGTATGGTTTCTATTCTTGGTGCTAATCCCCTGTTTGCTGGCTTTGAAATAAAAAAAAAAAAAATAGTTTTGAATAGTATTTTTCGAAAAATATGTGGTTTAAAAAAAAATATATTTTTTGGATTTACGTGTAAAATATTTTATTTTGTGAATTTGATTGAAAATAAATATGAGAAATAAATTAAAGTAAAGATAATCAAATAAGAACAAAAAAACTTAAGAATTTGAAGTCAACATCAAAAATAGAATTTTATTTCTTTAACTTTTTGGCTTCTCAGTAAGTACTTGTTTTGTAGGGATTTAATTAATTATTTTTTGACCGTTAGAAATAAAGTGATTTCTATTCGTGAGAGAAGAACTCAAAAATAACGGTTGAAATAGTGAAATAACGATCAAAAATTAATTTTAATTAGCTTAAAATTTGTATCAAATAAGTGCTAAATCTAGAGTCCTAAAAAATTAACTTTTATTTACCAGCACTAACGTGGCACAATCACATATATAAAAACATTTTACAAGATCAAATTATTTCAACCCCTTTAATTATTTCATTTTCCACTATTTCACACTCCTCTCAACGTTTCAAATTCAAGATGAAAATTTTGTCTTTTATGGTCAATCCCTTAAGCTCCAAAAAGGAGTATGTTATTTTAAAATAATTTTTTATCTGATCATCAAGATAAATAACTTCGTAACTTAATTTTTATTTTTAAATTTGTACTTTTATTTATAAGTGAACTTTTTAAAACTTTGTCAAACATGGTCTAACATCCCTCCAAAAGACCTTCCATTTTCCTCCAAACATTGCAACCAAACGTTGGGCAACACTATATTTAGGAAAATGAGAAGTGTACACTTCATTTAACGGCTGTCTTACAAAATGTGGGATCTGCGATTATTTTAATCGTGGACTCCACTCCTCACGTGAGAAGACTGTCAACAATGCTGTAAAATAAATTGTATCTGTAGCACAATTCCTATTTTTAACTGTCGCCACTGATTTATACCCATGGAATGAACAAAAAATTTCGTGTACTAGTTGCGTGTTACACCTCGACTCGAGTCAACCCTTCTCTACATTAATCGAGATCTTATTTTTAGTAGACTTTTTTTTTTCTCTTTAATTTTATCCAACTTTCACTCACGATTTCGTAAAAGAATATATTTATCAATATAGTATTCTGAATTCACGCCCGGCCTTAAAAATTATAACTTCAACTGATTAAATATATACTTATTTGAGTTATTTCTATATGTACATCAAATGTAATTAACATATGAGAGATTCTTTCTAGATTTGAAAATTTTTAATCCAATTACGTGTAATCCCACCACTCCCAATAATTCCAATTAACTCGCTATCTTTCTACAGTTCTCCCCTTTCTCTCTTTACAATACAATTTCTTCCATAACTGTTACTTTGCTTTATAGACACCCTTCTTCCTTTTCTAACTAATCACACTCAAAAAAGTACTTTAAGTGAGTATATAAGCCATTGCCCAAAGAAAAATAAAAAACGGTGAAAAAAATTCTTTTTTATGATGATTTTTCAGTTGATATCTTGCTTGCAGATTGCAATTCTTTGGACACTATTTCTTTCTTCTACTCCTATTTATATGTATAGAGATTGAAGATTCACAAGAAAAACTGATTCTTGATTCAAATGTGCAATAGCCCATTCGTAGTACGGTCTGAAACCATGTCTTTTACTGAATATTTCAAGAAAGCCAAGAGATTGAGACTGTTTGAGCCCTCAATAAGGATTCTTGGATTCTTTTTTGTGACAGTTTGTGTGATTTTTTGTTTCTTTTTACTGAATTACAGAAGTGTAACTACTAGATTTTCTTCACAGAAAGAGAGGTTTCTGTGGTTACGATTTGATGGTGGGAATGGTACTGAGAGTAGAAAAAAAGTTGATTATTTAAGTGAAAATGATGGTGGGTGTGACGTGTTTGAAGGTGATTGGGTGTGGGATGATAGTTATCCTTTGTATCAGTCTAGAAATTGCAGTTTCTTGGATGGAGGATTCAAATGTTCTGAGAATGGGAGGCCTGATTTTTTCTACACCAAGTGGAGGTGGCAGCCCAAAGATTGCAATTTGCCCAGGTTCCCAAAGAATTTTCTATATCCTTCAATTAAAATACTGTGTACTTGAATTGACAGGATAGGAATTTGATGTTTTTGATAATTTCTTGAATAAACATAAAATTTATATTCGTAAGACTTGATAGTGTTGCTTTGTAGTTTGATTCAGTAGGCTAAGTTATGAAATTATCTTTGTGTGCACGTTGCTCTACTGGTAACTTCCAATACTTGTAAGAGTTCTATATTATAATAGTTTATGCTGTATACTTGGCTTTTCTTTTCGTGGTTGCTGTTCTTTTTCACATGGTAGCATGTTTTCTTGGACATAGTAGCTAAATAATCCCAACTTGTTATAGAAATGGAAAAAATCCTTGATTCAAAAACCATTCCATCATTTTTGGATCCAAAAGAATGAGGTTTTTTGCTTCGTCCAGGAGTGACATATGAAAGAGGAAATGAAAGGGACGTGTGTAGCTGACAAATTTCAAGGCATGAGCTACCTTTTCAAAAAATTTGTTTGAAAATGATTTTCCATCTATCTATGGATATGTGTATTTTCCTTTTCTCATTAATTTTTCTCTCAGTATTTGTTACTGATGTATTAAGTGTTTGAAGGACCAATTCTGATTAATTCTGAAACATGAATTTTCTTAAAGGATCAATTGCACTACCGTCCTCAAATTTGCATTTTATTTTCCCGGATTAAATTTTTGAAAATACATTCTAAATATGCATTCTAGGCATTCTTAGCTTGTTCAGAAGGATCTCATATGATAAATATCGACGACCAATTATGTCAGTAGGATTGTTGGCATGTTTTGGTACCAAATATGCAGTTGACAAAATTAGAGAGAAGTAAGTCGGTTAACTTTTTCTCCATGCTTATAAAACAGATTTGATGGGAAGATTATGCTCGAAAAACTTCGAAATAAACGTCTAGTGTTCGTGGGAGACTCAATTGGGAGAAACCAATGGGAGTCCCTTCTCTGCATGCTGTCTTCGGCTATTTTGAACAAAGACTCAATCTACGAAGTAAATGGAAACCCGATTACAAAGCATAAAGGATTCTTGGTATTCAAGTTTATGGAATATAATTGCACCGTGGAATACTACAGGGCACCATTTCTTGTATTGCAAAGCCGGCCTCCTGCCAAAGTTTCATCCAAGATAAAAACAACTCTAAAACTAGATCAAATGGATTGGACTTCTATGAAATGGAAAGATGCTGATGTGCTCGTTTTCAACACAGGACATTGGTGGAATTACGAGAAGACCATAAGAGGGTAATTTTGCTTAAGTTCCTCTCATCTGATATTTGCTTTGTGTATCCTCTTTGAATTTTGAGTTTTGCCTAATTTAGGTGTAGAGTTTAGATTAAAACCCGTCCACCCATCACAACACACATACGCACCCAAAAAACATACTCTGATGAAAAGAAAGACAATTCAAGTGGTCTAGATGAAGATCAATATATACTTGAATGTTCTGTAGAAAGAGGCAATAATGTCATTATGTTTTTTTTCATGTACAATTTTGAAGTTGCTAATTTTAAGATATATGAATGTATTCCCAGGGGTTGTTACTTCCAAGAAGGATCAGAGGTGAAGATGGAGATGAGAGTTGAGAGTGCATACCAAAAGTCCTTAGAAACAGTGGTAGAATGGATACATAGAAAAGTGAATACCACCAAGACACAGGTCTTCTTTCGGACATATGCTCCTGTACATTTCAGGTTTCACTCGAGCTTTTCTCCCACCTTTACTATCACATGTGCTTAACGGGTTAAAATATCGGAATTGGCTTGGGAAGTATCAAAGAGTTCAATTCATTTCATTTCATTGATTTAATATTGGAATACGAGATTGGTTGATACAGAGAAGTAGCTGTAGGTTGTAGCCCTTAAGCCCATAAATGTTAAAAATTTTACTTAGATATCAAGCCCTAGTTTTCATTACAAGAGCAAAATTAAACAAAACAAATCAGAAATGCACTTGGATTTATTTTGTTTGACAAATTTTTCAGGGGTGGAGATTGGAAATCTGGAGGAACCTGTCACTTGGAGACGCTTCCAGAGTTCGGTTCTTCATTTGTGCCATCCCACACTTGGGCTCAATATAGCATATTCGCCGATGTTATGTCAAGTCAACGGAAAGAATTAGATTTGAGAACACTAAATGTAACTCATATGTCAGCAAGAAGAAAGGACGGGCATTCTTCTTTATATTACTTGGGTCCAAAAGTTGGTCCTGCTCCCCTCCATAGACAGGATTGCAGCCACTGGTGTCTTCCTGGAGTCCCTGATGCATGGAACGAGCTACTCTATGTCCTCTTGCTAAAGCACAACTCCAAGAAAAGTACGAATTCTTCAACATTTCATGCTCAGGCGGTATGATCATTTACAGGGAAGTGTACAAGTCATATTGTGCAAGATCATCTGTGCAAGTATCAATCAGAGCAAGGATCATCTGATTGTAGGGATATCTGAAATCTTGTTACATTTTTTATTTATTGCACGGATGAAATTCCAGTTTTAGGGGCAAAGTTAGAAATAGAATTGAACAATTGTGGATAGAATTTTGTTGGCAGTTTTGCATATTGAATCAAAGAGTAAAGATGAATTCCTTTTGTGTATGTAAAGATTTACTCAAGTTTTGTAATTAAAAATAGTAATTTAAAAATCATGTCTGAATAAAATAAGTAACTTAAAGGTTAGGGATTAAAAAGGTGCTTTATAGGTTAGTTGAGCATTTCTTGTCATGAGAATGTAGATGAAAACTATGGGAATTGCTTATTAGAGATTATAGTTTGTAAGTTTTGAAGGAAAATTCGAACTATATATACCTACGTGCAATAAATGAAATTGTAATGGTCAATTACATCATTTTTAAAAACATTGTGTGCCGATGTGGAATTTTAATTGATTAAGTGCGCAAGTTAATTTCATTCGCACCCCATGCGTAAATTCTAATCTACCGCCTAATACTCCTCAAATAAGTTCGCACCCCGGATACACTCTCCGACAACGATGGCAGCGGCGCCACCCAGCAGATCAAGAGACCTGGACAAGTTCCTCCTCCGGCCTGGCCGCCTTGTCGGCCTGACTTTGAGCCCAGTCCAGAAGTATTTCTCTCTCTCCACTTGTGTCGAGTTTTTTTTTTTTTCTCTTCATAGCCTTGTTTGTATTTTCTCCCATCGTTTCTCGTTATTTTTTCTACGGGACTCATTTTTAATCACACATTTTTCATTAAAATAATATTACACACATGAATCTTTTTCTTCTTTTTTAATCACACATTTCAACATCAATCATTATACTATAATACATTCTTCCCAAATAATGACAAAAACACCCTCCATTGTGTATTTTCTAGGGCTGCACAAAAAAATCACGAAATTGCATATCGAATCGAAATCGTTGATTCGGGTTCACGTGGACCCATAGTTTCTTTTTTCTCAAACCAAACCAAACCGTTTCAAAATGGTTTGGTTTAAATTTTGATTTTCAAAAACCGCACAAAGCCAAATCGAAGCTTTTTTAAATTATTAAATTAAAAAATTAATTTCATTAACTTAAAAATTTTACAGTTTTTACTTTAAAAAAATACCAATTTAACAATACAAATTACAACGGCCTATTGAAATAATCATAGAAAGTAAATTATGTTCATCATTATTGACATATGATTTAATAGATTCACAACACATGTCCTCACCTGATATCTAAACTATACTAAAATTATTCCAAAATCATATTAAATGAAAAAAAAAACATATATTTTCAACAATCCAAATCATATTTTAACAAAACTACATCAGTAAATGAGGTCCAAAGTTTCAGAAACCATAACATAAATTCTAATTTCCCCAACATTTGATGCTTGTCTACCATCGCTGAACGAATCGTCAATCGCCTTTACTTGTTAGTCTAATAATATCTACCTGAATCACCTCTTTCTCTTTTCTCTTTTGATAAGTCTTAGATTTTATTATGACCATTTTCCATTGTTCTTTCTTTTATTTGTTTTTTTGAACTTATTATACACTTGTGAGTTGTGGTTTAGATAGAAAAATGATTGTTTGTTTGTCTAGATAATTAATGAATTTTTTTTTTATTAGAAAAGAACGAATGACGAAGCATATTGATTGTATGAAAAATGTTAAAGTTCTCTAACTAGTACTACTACCTTTTACTTTACATCTTACTAGCAAAACGAAAAAGAATTTTAACTAAACTATAATAATAGAATGTAACTCTACATTTACCAACTGCTATATAACAATATGATTGTCAAACAAGAAAAGATAAATAAAAATGAAGAAAGATGCATTTGTTTTATTAACATTTTTTAGCAATCAATTTTGAAAATAATTTATTCATGTGTTCCATAGTAAATATGAATGTAATTTAACATTTAACATTATTAGTTCTCGTTTACACTTATATTTAACTATGTTCAATACATTATTATAATGTCTAAAGGTAAACTGTGGATTAAAATCTAACCAAACTGCAAATTATGATTTGGTTTGAAAAATAAAATGGTTTGGTTTGAGAAAATTTCAAACCACTAAAAATGGTCTAAATTGAAAATATAGTACAAACCATCCAAATCGAACTGCGTTCACCCCTAGTATTTTCCACTAACACATAGTGCATTCATATTTTCACTATCAAAAGATCTATCTAACTATCGTTTATGTTTATGAGTTTAGCTGAGAGATGACATAAAGAAGTATGCCAAAGTTTTGGTAGGCGCAGGTAGGCTTGGATGCGAATTGTTGAAAGACTTGGCTTTATCGGGATTTCGAAACCTCGACGTCTTTGATATGGATCGCATTGAAGTAACCAATCTTAATCGCCAGTTTCTATTCAGGTTAATCTTAATGCTAATTATGTGCTCGATGCGTGAACGCACGAAAACATGACCAAATATGTTAATTGGAATGCATCTAGGTGTAATGTATGAAAGGTGTGATGGAGAATATTGTTGAAGTTTATAGGGTGATTAAGGGGTACATGTTGACTTTATCCTTTGTTCAATAATGGTGCTTAGATTGGAGTTATGGATTTTCACTGTTGGATATTTTGGTGATCATCTTTAATAGTAAAGATGGTTATTTGCTCATTTATTGGATGCACATATAATTCGGATAGGCTATTGGGTGATGATGACATTCAAAAGGGTATAATAGGGTTTAACTAACGAATCCTTACTTTTATATTCACACGTCTATTTGCTTGAATTTTGGGAGTTGGAACAAAGATATTATCAATTCGTGAAGACATTTGCCAGCGTGGATCAACCTTTCAACTTGGAATTCAAGAAAGAAATATGCTACCCGTATATAATGCAGTGTCTATAATGATGTCTTCTCCCCTCACATAGAGGGGGACCTAATTTGGTTAGATTATATTTTATTTGAAGTAGGCTCCCCTCCATGTGAGGGGGGTGGACACCATGATGAACACCCTGATGTATGTGTAATGTCACTCTTCAAAAATCTATTCAACATTATTCTACCCCGTCCAATTCCATTGTGAGTCAGGGATGTCAATTAGCCAACTTGAGCTAAGGTTTAGGTCGTTTGAACTTGTTCTGATATGTTTTATCAACAATCACAAACATGCAAGAAATATGTTCAAGCTCGGATCTTTTATTTTCTCTAGCTAGCTTGAATGAGCCATTTGCCAGAAATAAAGGCCATCTTGAACATCATTATTGATTTGCGCTATTTTGACACTTGTTGTTACGCCCCTATCTGAATCGCCTCGGGACGCCCACCACCACACATTCCGACCTGATAGACACCCGTCCGAAGTGTTTCCGAAGTAATATCACCAAATGTCAACAACCTAGTAGCACACTGCTATGTATAAGCGATCCTGCTGAACTGATCGAAACTCCTCGCCTCCGAGGCCGAGGCCAAGTGGACCCCTGTCAGAAGATCTGTTGCCAATTTCAGAAAGAGATTTGTGTCAAGATCCTCTCTGCACCTAAGGTTTAAATTGATTTGATATCTCCATGAGACTAGTTGATGTGACTTATCAATTTTATGTTAATTCAACTCAGGAGAAACAAGCTGTCCACCCACTCTACACGGCTGATTGATGCCTATGAGCGGACGCCTCATACCGTCAGATGTATACACGTGTCCCACATTCAACGGCCCATCTCACCTATAAATACCCAAGATTTGGCAAGAGGCAAAGGTAATGAAACTCCTACGACATAGCACTCCATAGCAAGTTTATATATTTTCTCCTCCCCCTTATTATTATTTGTCACAACCCCTGGGTACTGTTCCGACCATCCAAACCTGACTTGACCGTCGGAGTGTATATGGCCGCCGCCGCCCCCGTTGGTCCCGGTCGTGTGCGTCTGACCGTGCGTTGATTGTACACAGGGAGGAATACGTGGAGTAGCTATCGGTTGGCCACGTGGAAGGTCCAATTTTCGAGGTCAACAGATTGGCACCGTCTGTGGGAAACATTTCTCGTACAAAGTTCTGCATTCTCCACCGAAGAAGTTACTGAAAAACTATCGACTAACCCTGAAAAGGGCACGTTCTTGAAAAAGAACAAATTCAAGTGACAATCCAAGTTTGCACCATCCTTGAAAAAAGAGATAGGATGAACTATAGCCATAAAGACGACAACCCCATGAGAGAAGCCTCTGAAGAAGAGGTACTCCATAACAATGTTACTCATCAGAGACCACATCACCGACGTCATCGAGGTAAAAGAACAGCCATGCTCACTAAAGAAATGATTCAAATAGCTGCGGGTATGAGAGATATCGCAACTCAGAATATGGCAATGCATGAATTCCTCATGCCAGCCCAGGGTCATCAGGGCTATCAAATGCCCCAAGGATCTTATCCAGTGCAGGAAGCCCCTGTATCTCACTCCCGAGGCCACATGAGCTGGCACACAGAACGCCCCCTCGAAAGAAAGATGAACACCGAAGCCACATCTTATGTGCAAGGGAGCCAGCCATCAGAACCACACCTGGGGGATAATTTTCCTCAAGAATACGGGGAACAAAGGTCGGCAAGCGTCTTCGATCGGATAGGAGAGGATCCTAGCAATAGGGTCTGTCCGATAAGAAGATCAGTTCGTCCAGATCAGGAACAAGAGCATGTTCCTCCTCCTTCTAGAAATAGGAGGGACAGGAGGAACCTAGTCGATTGGAGAAATCGAGGATAAGCACCTCCACCTCTCAAGAACATTCAAGATGATGAAGGGTCAGATGGGCCCTGTCGATCTTATGAGATTGACGATGATGATGATAACTTCCCTTTCTCAAGGGAGATCCGAAACTTCCCAATGCCTACAAATTTCATGCCCCCTAAGATCCCCAAGTATGAAGGAAATGGGGACCTGGAGAAGCACCTCACCAAATACATGACACAAATGAGCCTCATGGGAGCCTCGCTTGCTTTGAAATGCAGAGCCTTCCATTTAACACTAGGCGGAGCCGTCGAAGTGTGGTACAGCAGGCTTCCTTCCCTAAGCATTAGAAGTTGACCAGATTTGAAAAAAGCATTTTTGAACCAATACCTCTCACGCAGAGAAGGAGAGGCACAAGTGCAACGCCTGTAGGATATGAGGCAGGCCCCTGGGAAGACGC